TATGAACAACAACAACAACAAAAACCAGTCAGAATAAGATAGATGAATATCTATCTATATTTCACAGATAGATTGATAGACATTAGCCCAAAATGACGATCACAATCTCACCAAAAAGAATATAAAATCCTTGCCCACACACACACACACACACACAGACACAATCCATTTCTGGATAAGATTCTTCTTTGGCCTGATTTTGTGTCTTCAATCTTTTTTTTTCAATCGTGTGATTATTATTGTGCTTAGCAATTTTTTTGTTTTGGTTCCATTCATTGATTAATTTACCTTGTGGTTGTGTTGTGTGTGTGTATGCGTTTAGATTGTAAACAAACGGATATTCGATATAATTGAATGAATGACCGAATATGCCATTTTTTCAGTCACAATAACAAAACACGCAATACAAATTTTATATGCAAGCCATTTCAGAATATTGGATTGGACATGAACAGGAAATTTTGATTTTTCTTTTTTCTTCGTCCAATATTACACAATGTATTTCGATTGGTTGGTTATATGTAAATCAATCAGGTAATTATTTTCAGAATAAATGGAAATTTTCATTATGAAATAAGAATTGAAAAGAAAAATCGTAAATCAATTCATCGTTTGTCACCGGGGATATATATATTGGGATTATTTTCCAGAATCAACAAAAAAATTCACTTTTCATTATTATATCACATCTTGGTGATAATTAATTTTTTTTTTCACTGCTGAAATAATTTGGAAAGAGAAAAATTAATTTTAAAATTTATATATCACATCTGAAACCGGGCATATCACACAATCATCTAAATCATTGAAATATAATGATAATATAATCCTATTATTACGTCATTCAAAACATCTATATATAAATTATTAATTGTATTGATAATATTGGATCATATGAGTTGATGGAATTTTTTGTTTTGTTTTGTTTTCATCATCATTTTCATAATCAAAACGATGATGATGATGATGATTCTAAAATTAGAACATGTGTGTGCGTGTGCTTGTTGTATGATCAATACGTTTTTTTTATCATTTACTTGGTGCAAAGTATTATCATTTTATTTTCATACATAGCTCCTATAAAAGACAAATGAAAATATTGCAAAAGAATATTCTTCTTTTCTTCTTCTTTTATCATTTAAGATTAATTTTCCTAATGAATGATTTTCATCATCATCACAAAGAATATTCGACAAAGAGAAAGAAAGAGAGAGAGAGAGAGAAAAGGAGGTTCATTTGTTGAGTTTATTTCTTTATTTTTATTCGGGTATTATTCATATTGTATGGCGTGAGTGAATGGAGTGAAAAAATCTTCGATTCTGTATTATGTTTATTCATTCGAGCCCATTACACACATTCTATAAGTATATCGGTGTGTGTGTGTGTGTGTGTGTGTGTGTTGTGTATTGTACTCTGTTCATCATCACTTTGGTTATAATAGATAATAATAATATTGTGTGACTAGACTCTTTCTTTCCTTCCTATGCAAATAAATTCTCATCTTTTCTGCTTCTTGTTGTTGTTATTTTCGGCTACTGTTTTCTCCATGTTTTTTTCTCTTTATTGGAATTTGTTTTTTTTACGGGTTTTTTTTCTTCTTGCAAACGACGACTCAAACATTATTATTATTATGATGTTGTTGTCGTCGTAAATGTAAATATGTCACATTGTAATACAAAATACGCTTGCAAGAAGCGGCCGGCAACATCAGTAGTGTTGAATATGGCACCAGTGACATAATAAACAAATTTATTTTAACCAAAATCATCATTTTTGTTAACCACTATTTATTATTATTTATTTTTGTATGTTAAAATTGGTTGTTGTTGTTGATCACCGCCTCCTCTCTTTTACCAATATTGTTGCTGCTTTTGTACCGATTTTTTATTATTCGTAATAATTCTTGTTGTAGTAAAATTTGAATTTATCATCATCGTAGTCATCGTCGTCGTGGTATTATTGTTATTATTATTATTATTATGATGATGATGATGATGATTGCTTGTAGTGGTGGTGGTTGTTGTAGTATTTGTGATAAGTGATGATGATGAATTATTATTATTATCGGTATTATTGATACGCATCCATTCTTGATAATCAACACCTTTAGCCCAACGATTATGATAAAATTTACAATCATAATTTTGACAACCAGTTGTACGCCAAAAATAACATTCTTTTGATGAACGAATCTGATTTTGTTTACAAATACGGAAATCTTTTTGATTTTCACTTTTATAAAATTTAAAATCCAAATATTTAAATCGTTCACTAATGCCTGGCAGTTGTATATGTGACAGATATGATATACATTTACTTGGTGATTCAACATTATCAAATTCGATGATCAATTTTTTCATCAATTTCATTGCATCATTCGTTTCGTGAATAGTGGATGATAATGATGTTGTTGTTTCATCTTTGGTTTTAATCTGTAGAATTTTACCAAAATAGCTTAGAATTTCATATATGATATCCATCTTATAATCTTGGCATAGATTCTCTATCAAAATTGCTTTCAAATGAAATATATTATCAATAATTGGTTCATTGAATATTTTACGTACAATGATTGGTTGATTATCCAGCTGATATTCAATGCTAAGTATCATATTCATTGATAATGATATTGATATATTGAATAATCGTTGTTGGGTAGTATCTGCTGTACAGATGTTGCCATTTTCATTATTACTACCACCACCACCACCACTATTATTATTATCAATGCCATGATCATCATTATCCTTATTATTATTATTATTATTTTCATTTTGATAGAGAATCACATCATTAAATTGTTGTTGTTGTTGTTGTTGCTGTTGTTCATACAACAATTTCATTGTTTTTTTATCCACTTCTTGCAGCAATCGATTATTATTATTACTATTATTGTTTCCATCGTTATTATTATTGTTATCATTGTAATAATAACCATTCAAAGGATTTGGTTTCATTGCCATTAATTTGTTTTTATATGTTGTTGTTATGGCACGATTCTCTGTATCTATTGCTGTTGGTGGTGGTGGTTTGAGATGATCTAGTCAATGATGTGATTCGATCATTGCTAGTAGTGGCCAAAGATAATGATGCTGGTGATGATGATGATGAATTTTGTTGTAATCTTGGCCAATGATTGTATGAAGAATTTGAAGTAGAAATGTTAAGAAAATCATTATTATTTTGTAATTTCCAAGAATGATGGCCAGAATTTTTTATTTGTCTTTGTTGTTTAGGCTGCTGCTGATGTTCTCGTCTTGTTGTTGTATGATGCCTTTGGCTATTTTGATGATGATGAGGATCATCATTAATCGATAGTTGTTGTATTTGTTGCTGTTGTTGTTGTTGTTGTTGACAAAGACGACTAACTTCAAATTCATATTGTTTCAATATTTCAATCAATGTCATTTGATATGAATCTTTCACGGTGACAACTTGTTCATTTGAAAGTTTATTTGTTTTCAGAAATTTTGCCGTCTCTTCCATTAATTGTCGATGTATTGAATCAATTTTTCGTATCATTGAATTATCCAGGCCGCCATACATATCAATCAATGCTTCAGTAGGACGATCCAATTTAAAATGACATAATGCACGATAAAACAATAAATCGGATTTAAAATATTGATATAATTCTGTTCGATTATCGATTTCATCATTTATAGCTTGTAATGCAATTGTTTTGCGTCCATCGCGTAAAAATTCATTCACAATTGACAATAGAAATGTTTTTCGATTCTGTACATTTGTTATTGTCATCATTTGTTTATGTACACGAGACAATAATGTATCGCATTTTATATCGGACAGTTTTGATAATAAACAAATATCATTACATTCTAAAATGTAATAGCCATCTTCTTTGCAATCACCACTGCTGCCACCAATTGGTCTACCACCATTTGCCATTCGATTATCAGTATGGTGGTGATTTGTTGTTGTTGTTGTTGTTGTTGCTCCACCATTTTCATTATTTTCATTGTCATTCATCATTTCAAATTCACATCCATTTTCAAACCATTTGGCAATTGTTTGTAAATTTAAATTTACCAATTCCATATTCAATTTTGCTCTTTTTTCAACTAAAAACAAAACACAAAATAAACAAAAAATAAATAGAAACAAAATTCAGGTCATTTAGCATTCATGCATACAAACGAATTTTATACATGGGCTTGAAAACCATTATTCAATTGTTGAAGAAAAAAAATTCCAATTATTGATTGATTTTCATTTATTGAATATAATCGGATTTTGGTGGCCAAATTCGTGAACTTTGCTTCGAATGATTTCAATAACAAACCGAATTGCTAATTTGTTATGGGGTTACACAGGCCACATTGAATTCCATAATATGCAAATTATTCACCCTTAAAAGTAATTCAATATCCACAAAGATGTTGCTCTGTATTAAGTTGATTAATTGTTATATACTACTTTGGCATATACACGGAAAACACATGAGACTCGGATATCCGTATATATTGTGGAATGTCTGTATATACCAATTGTCTGCATTTTTTTTTTTTTTGTTGCTTATGATAAAATACAAAGTTTTTTTTATCCATTTCAAATTCTATATATTTTTTATTTCTATATTTAAATTTCACATCAAACCACGACCATACATATATATCATTACACACAGCTTGCAAAATGAATGATGATGATAGAGAGAGAATGAGTGGAGAAAAACTTTAAATAATCATATGATATGATAGTGATATGAAAAATAAATAAACTTTCGATCATCATTTATATATGTATGTTGTGTATACAGCGTACGAAAATTTAATTAATTTTTATTGTTTTTATTATTAATTAGTCTAGCCATTTTAATATTTTGAAGAGCGAGGCAAAAAAAACATTGATATTGAGAGTCTCGACAAAAAATAAAATGGATGATGTGACTGTAATAATGGGGCGTATGAAATTTTTTTTTTTTTTTTTGAATACATCCTCTGAACCTCTGTTCTTGTGTTCCTGATTAGTGATTCAGTGGAAGCTTCAAAGCTCATTTTTCAGTTATTATTCATATAATAATAAGCCATCTGTAATGGATGCTCTCTATCTATTCTGGAATTTTATGAGAAAAAAACCACTTTACTTGATCATCATCATCATCATCATAGATATTCAGATGAATAATCTAAAAGTTTTGGGCAAGAACTCCACCTTTTTTTGCCTATGATCTATCTATATAACGATGATGATGATGATGATGATAATAAAATTAATAATGGAGAAAAATTTAAATAATAATCAGCTAATTTGCATGTTCTATTTTTTCTTTTCTGTTTTATTTTAGAATTTTTTTTTTGTTCATCTTTTGTCAAGAAAACTATCCATTCCGAACTTTTTTTCGGTTGCGTAAATTCAACAATAGAATAATTTAACATTTTTTTCCCAAAATTCTGCATACACGAATATGAGTTCTACATCGAAAAATAAATCATCGAGTGGTGGTGGTGGTGGTGGTGGACATTCAAGTGATGTAATGTCAGGATCATCGTCACCGCATCTTGTTCATGGCCATCATCATCATCCACATCATCATCATCATGGTAATTCTTCTTCATCATCATCTAATACGGTGGAAACCATACAATTATTGGTGGACAATACCACATTTGTGGTAAATCCAGAAATATTTTCATCAAAAAAAGATACAATGCTTTATCGGATGTTTTTTTCATCACCAAGTATTGCTAAACCGAATGAAAAAGGACAATATGTAATTGAAGGCTTTTCAGCCACTGTATTTGGTGCCATTTTGGTAAGTTTCACATTGAATTTTGAACCAACTTTTCCTCAACACCCTATCCTATTCAATTCTATTTATCCCACATCTTTTCATATCCATCCATCTGAAAAGTCAAACAACAACAACAACAACAATCACTTGACAATTTGATGTATTAGTTTTTCATAGGTCTTTAGAACTTTCAACTTTTCATTTTCTATAGGCTTTGACACGCGCGTGTAGTAGTACCCATACATCTTGTTGTTCATTATCGATTAATGTGACATATATATACACATCCTTACTTAACCGCTTACACATCTCTACTCAACTCATGTACACACAGAAACATTACTATACGCATTTACAATATATAAAATAAAATAATCCAGTTCTAGGAATTTTTTCCCACTGTATAGCCATTCTATGAGAATTAAATTAGTGATGGCAATTTTTTTTTATTTTGAATCACAACATTCACAATAATGTTTTGAATACTAATAAATTTTTTTCTATTATCTCTTGTTTGATGTTTGAATTAGGATTTTTTCAAAAATGGCATCATCAAATGTCCACCAAGCGTCAGCGTTTCTGAATTGCATGAAGCTTGTGACTATTTTCTTATTCCATTCGATGCCTCAACTATCAAATGTCATAATTTGCGTAAGTTAATTACGGATAAAAATCAACAAAATTGAAAATCACAATAACATTGTCTTTTTTTTCTAATCAAAGGTGGATTATTGCATGAAATAAGCAATGAAGGTGCTAAAGAACAATTTGAAAATTTTCTTTATGAAAAAATTCTACCTGAAATGGTCAATGCAGCTAAAGTAAGTTGAAAAATTGGATTTTTTACTAATAGCATCATTTTATTTGAAATTCTTATTAATTATACCAGCGTGGTGATCGAGAATGTCATATAGTGATTTTATTGGACGATGATAACGTTGATTGGGATGAAGAATATCCACCACAAACTGGTGAAGAATATTCGCAAAGTATGTCCATGTGTCGATTCTCTTGATAATATTTAACGATGATTTTGTTTCAGTTATTTACTCAACTTCTATGTATCGTTTCTTTAAATACATCGAAAATCGAGATGTTTCCAAACAAGTTTTGAAAGACAGAGGATTAAAGAAGATCCGTCTTGGTATTGAAGGTTTGCAAAAATTCTCCAAAAAAGAAAATTGGCAATCATTTCACAAATTAATCTGCTTTTCTCTCACATATAAAGGATTTCCAACACATAAAGAAAAAATCCGTAGACGTACTGGTGATCGACGTCCTGAAGTTATTTACAACTATATTCAACGTCCATTCATACGTATGTCATGGGAAATGGAAGAAGCTAAATCTCGTCACGTTGATTTTCAATGTGTTCGTTCGAAATCAATTACGAATCTTTCTCTGGATGGTGATGAACCGAATTTAGATTCTGAAACAGTGGCCCGTGTTGATCTTGGTTCATCGAATGTTACCACTAATGTTGAAACAATCTATGTGGATCGTTCAACCAATGGAAATGGCAGCAGTAGCAGCAGCAGCAGCAGCAACAACAATGCAAATAATGATAATAGTAACAATAATCATATCACCACCAATGCTACAAACAGTGGACCGAACAAGAACACTAACAATAACACAAATGTTACTGTAAAAGAAAATGATTCCAGTGATTGATTGATTTTGATAATTTATCATCATAATGATAATGATGTTTATACATTAATTAATTAATTAATTAATAATTAAAGCTATTGATAATTGAAAAAGAAAATTTTGTTTTTTTACTCGTAAAACATGCTACATATAAAGGGTTTGAATTTTTTAAAAATATAAATAAATCTGCAGTAGTAGTGCTGCCATCGTTTGGCTCATAAAGAAGGTAAATGATTTTCAAAAGATGAAATTTTTTCTTTTCTGTTGTTAATTTCCACACAGATAATAAATACCATCTGCAAATCTATAAATAGTTTAAACTTGACATAATAATTTAATTAAATTAGTAAATAATCATTTCATTATTATTATTATTATTATTTGCATGAATTATTTATAAAAATATCGATTGTGTACAGGTAAAAATACAAAATACAAATAAGTATTCATTCAATTTACAGTTGTATGTGTGTGTATGATGGTTGGTGAATTTTGTTGTTGTTGTTTTTTTTATATAAAAGTGTCAAGTATGATGATGACATTCAAATAAAGTTTTTTTTTCAATTTCACTAATTTTCTCCGAGACAAACACGTTTTTTTTAGTTCAAAATTCAGGTGATTTCATTTTTTTTTTGTTGTATATGATTGAGATCAAAATGAATGACTGGGTCGTTGACATTTATGTGATTCGATAATGATGATAGCTCGTTTTGTTGGATGATTTTTTTTGTTTCTTTTCTTGTTGTTGTTTCTAATGGAGTTTTATTTTATTGATTCGATAAATTTTGTCGTGATTGATTGAATATGCAATAACAATAAAGATGATTTCTATATCAGCAAATCTTTTAGAAGATGAATAAGAACATAATTAATTGCTGTGGAAAAAATTCATTGTGCTCGGGACAAATTGGTTGGAAAATTTAAAAACAAATTTTCTGGTTATTTGAATCTATCTGTTTGTTGTCTGTGTGTGTGTGTGTGTGTGTATATGTGCAACAAAAATAAAATAAAATGTGCATAAATATTACATGAAAAATAATAGGTTTGTTGGATATATAATGAGTGTGGGTGGGTGTGTATTCGTTGCGAAAAAAAAAACCTTTAATGCCAAATCAAACTTGTTTGATTTTTTTTTTGTTTTTAGTTTTCTCTTGTTATTTCGCTAAGCAAACAATCATTCCAAATGGCACTGTGTGTGTGTGTGTGTGTGTGTTGAGATCGTTCTTAAGAATCGGATTCTGGGTGAGGGAGGAAACACAAGAAGAAACGGGCAAAAAATATATAAATCTGATTGTAAAATGGAAATATATGGTAAATGTGGTATGTTCAATGTATCAATTACGCGAATTCAACAATCGAATGCGTGTTATGAGATAATCGGTGATGAATAAAGTCATGTCCATTGTATTGAGGGAAAAAAGAAGAAAAGTAAACAAAAAAAAATTTAAAATTGTGTTTCATGTGAATATGTGTTAGTGCTAAAAATATCTAATAGGTATCCAGTGACAAAGATTCTAATCTTTTGACGAGCAAAATGAAAAAAAGAAGAAAAGAAACAAAAAAACAACAAAATAAACATGAAAGGGAAAGAATAGTTTTTTTTCGCCTAAATGATTGAAAAATCTAATCTGATTTTTTGGGTATTTGATGTCTGTTTATTTTTTTTCTATAATTTAAGCCAAGTGGGTAGTTTAGGCACAATATCAAGTTTACAGTAAACATAGAGAATTTGGTCGGCCTTTTTTGCTTTTAAAATGTTTGAATCAGCATGCACACACACAAGAATACAACAGAATTATATGAATTTTTTTCTCTGGAAGAGAGAAAAAAAACGGAAATGCCTGGGTAAATCTGACTGATCTCTAAATCAGATTGTGGATGTGGATGTATATCTAATTGATGAATGAATTGAGGCACTTGATCACCATCATAATGACCGAAAGGACTTTATATAATTTTTTTGTGTGTGTGTGTGTGTGTATGCAAGAAATTAAAGAAATGAGATATTAAGAATTGAGCTTTTACGGATACAAGAGTAGAGTAGTTTATATGATGATGATATAAATAGAACAAAGAAAAAAAAATTTGTTGGTATTTAACAAAATATAACAGAAAAAAATTCGTATATTCAAAGCCTGTTGGCGTGTGTAGGTAGATTGAAATGTCTGTGTGTTTCGGTTTTTTCTTTGTTTGTTAGAGATTATCAACCAGGTATTTTATTTAGCTTTATTCTTTTGTCAAACGATATATATGATGTTGAGTTCCAGCCGTTTCTGATACTTCAAATACGTATGCGATACAAAGTAATGTTTCTTGTGTATCGGCATTAGTAATGACCTAAATTCAAACAAACAAACAAACAAATCAATCATTTGAATGAAATTTCATCACACTCACCTGTAGAATTGTGAAATTTTCCAACACTGAATTCATCATATATTTTTCTGGTAAATGTTTAAGTTTATGAATGAAATTTATCATATATTCACACATTTGAGATCGATTGATACGATAAACATAACGACCATTTTCATATCTAGCATATTCTTTCTATAAAAATTGAAAACAAATGTCATTAAAATATATGAATTATGGTTCAATGAATTTTTTTTTCTTTTTACCTCAACTTTTTCAACAACTTGTTTGCCAAATGAACAAACTTTGGTTGAACATGCTATAGTCATATTGTCATTACTTTCATATTGACTGGTTACACCATAGAAAGCTCCTGAATCATCCGGTAATGATGTACTTAGATCAGCCCAGAATTTGACCAAAAAGAAAGCACTCTGTGGTCCTTTATCGAACAATTCTTTTAGGCCTTTCTTTTCGGGAAATTTATCATATATTTGCCGTATATCGACCGATTCAAGCATCGGATCACTGAATGATGTTGGTGTTTGTCCAATATGTACAAACAAATGTTTATCTGTATCGTGTTCTTGATATTCCATAAAAGCAGAAAATTCTACTAAACGAAATTTTTGCGTTGCTATTGATCTTCCTTCAAAAAATGGTCCAAAACCATTGGTTAAACTTGGACTTGTACCATTGGCACCTGGAAAATAATGAGCACCGGATGATGGCATACATAAATTTTTTAAATCATTATGATGCATTCCTGGTGGCCAAAACTATAATTGAAATGAAAATCAGAATCAATGAACATGGATTAATCATATTCAACATCAACATACCGATGGATAGGGAGCAGTCACCTGTGGTGCTAGATCAGCTATTGTTGGATGAATCCTATTTATAGCTGTTGGTTTTGGCGTTGCAATTGTTAATGGTGATTGTATGCCGGATTTATCTTTAAGATCCTTTTAATGTGGAAATAAAATTTAAAAAAAAACAATTATTCTCGATACATCAAAGAATCATCAAGAAGACATACTTTGCTTTTTGACTGTATTTCACGTTGTTTTCTTCTCGCTAATACTTGTATATGACTAGAGACCTGCTTACGAGTTCTCGTTTTTCCGGTACGTAATTTTATATAACGGGCAATCAATTCATTTCGACCTAGAAAAAATATTGATGTTGGGGAAAAAAATAAAAAACAAAAAACAAAAATTATACACATGATTGTCACTATTTTCACAGTCGTTTTTCTTATTCACTATCGCTCAATTAACTGGTTCATCATCATCATCATCATCATCATCAAACAAAAATACATTACATGCACACATATACAAACAAACGTTTTCATACGCTTTCATTGAAACCGTTCAACATATTCAACACACAAACAAAACAACTTTAGAGAAAAATAAGGAAATAAGAATGAATCGCCTTCAATTGCTATCGTGGTAAAAACGAATTAAAAGACAAAAAAAAAGTAAACATTCTTTTCATTGTTGAATTGAATTGAAAATGAAGGTATAAAATGAAATGAGAATTGCACGATTACAATGATCTGAATTGAATAAAATGATCATAAAACACACACAAAAATGTGTGGTGTTATCTCTTCTTGGATACCACTTGGTGGCCATTATTACGTAACTATTTCGTCATCATTCTTCATGTAAGATGAACTAAACTAAATAGATAATTTTTTTTCGCTCTGGTTACCCAATTCTATCATCATCATTATCAAAGAATGATCTGTATTCCGGGTAACAACAACAACAACAAAAAAAATTGACCATACAAAAAACAACCAAATGAACTGAAATTATGATGAATTGTCTAAGATATTCTAAAAATAATAAAAACAAACAAACACAGAAAAATGTTTGGTAATATAATGAAGCTATTAGAAAAAAATGAGAGAAAAACGTCACTATTTTTTTTCATTAGAATCGTCAATGTAGATATAAAAAGACCCAAAAGACGAAAAGAAAAATAAAATGATATTTAGTGGAAATAGAAAGATTCTATTCTATATCCAAAATCCATTTAAATTAATTCTTTCCGTTTATATCTGATGATAATGTTTACAGTGTGTGTGTGTGTGTATCTAAATAGCAAATAAATTACCATGAATTTCAATAATTTATTGAAAAACGTTTCTTTTTGTATAGTGCAAGAAAAAAAAAGAAAGATCAAGATCTTTAGTGTTATTTGTGTGTAAATAGATGAGTAATAAATGTTTCATGAGTGTTATACTAATACACACATACGTTTTTTTTTTTTTTTTTTTTTTGATGAGCCCTTGGATCATCGTTCGTTGGCTAACATCAAAAATGATGCCAACAGACACAAGACAGATGGGTTTTATTCATTTAAATCGGGTTTCAATCTTCTTTCAATTGATGTGTTTGTGAGTGAAAACTATCAATTTTGAAAAAAAATGTCGGTGTTTGTGTGTATGAATATGAACTTCAGGGCCAAATAATTGACGTGATGATAAAAAGTTGAACAAAATTTAACACAATAACGGCATATGATGGGTGAAAAATTTTTCATTACAAAACTCGTCATAATTTTTTTTTTGATACGTGCATTATCCAGTGAAAAAAAATCCACAAAGAATGAAAGGAAATTGCAATTTTAGTAATACAAAATGGTACGAATAAAAGAAGTGCTTAATATTTTATTCTCATTTTTTCAATGGATTGTTGTTGATAAAATCGACACTAAAGAATTTCTTTTATTGGATTCAACAGAATAAACGATCCAGGACAATATTACAAACAAACACACACACACACATGTCATATGCATTTCATTTCATCATTTTCACACAGAAAATAGAATTCTGTCAGTAAAAGTTATTGATTTGAATCGATGATGATGGTAATAATATGGAAGAGAAACGATCGAGAATTGCCATTTTTTTCATCAATATGAACCCTATCACAACACCACCTTTTTATATATATCTTTTTGACATCTTTCCACATATTTTTTCCATTGAATCAATTTTAAACATTTAATCAAATTCAAAACAGAATTGAAAACATCCCAAAGAATAAAGGGAATGAATTGCATGGAAAGAAAGAAAAAATTCAATATTCAGTCAAAAATGACTGACGAACAAAAAAAAACAATCGAAAAGCAAAGCCATTTTCACAATAAAATGCAAACACATTTAGAATTTCATCAAAAATTTTTTTTTCTGAAAACAATTTCATCTTTGAATTTGGATTCTCTACTGGTGTGTGTGTGTGTGTGTGTGTGTTGTTCAGTTTCAGTGATATCAGAATATTCTGCAAACGTTAAACATTTTTTTTTTTGGTAATAACAATATTATCCAAAATAATAAATCGGGTTGCTATTATTACCTCTCTCTCTCTCTCGATAATAAAAAGGTTTTTTCGCTTCAAATTCATCGGCCAAGAATCCAAGAATAGAAGATTCTTGAATTTTCTATATTCTCAGAATAGGATAATATAATAATCATCATTATCATGCTCAATAATGAGATTGGCTCGTTCAATTCTTTTTGCACCATATATGCTCTTTTTACGATATATTATGAATCCATTTATTATTTGATTTTGACTTTCTCTCTCTCTTTGATTCTTCAACAGAATCGTTGTTCGTATGGTCGTTGTCATTATTATTAGATACCAGTAGAAAATATAATCGCATTTTTTGAAATGTATACAAGAATCGTATAAAAATCAATTCAAAAATTTTTTCCCGTTGTTGTTCATTCGAATAAGAATCGAACAAATTAAGCTGCTCCTCATTTATTTATTTTTTTTGACCCTTCACAATTATTTAGAATTGTTGAGAATGAGAATCCCATTTACAAGAATAATGGTGCTGACAAAATTTTTTGTTGGAGACATTTATTTATTAAGCCAGAAACAAAACAAAATTATTATCAATAATCATCGATGGTTATTATCGTGTTCCAGATTCTTGAGAGTCAAAAAACAAAAAACAACAACAACAACAATTCCATGATGATGATGATGATGATTATGATGACAAGAATAGTTTTACACACACACACACACACAAAAATAATCATTGTGACCAATTGACTTTGTCTTAATTTCTATTTTTTTCTTTCTCGTTCATGGGTGTACACGAAGGGAAAATATAAATGAATACCATTTCCAGGGTTAATAAAAAATCGATATTAACAACAATATTGTGAATTGGAAAATGAATGAAATAAATAAATGATCGAAATGAAAATGAAAATGAATGAGCAATTTTGTTTCTATTGTTGTTGTTGTTGTTGTTGTTTGTTGTTGAACAACAAATCGATTGAATTCATTATTTCAATGCTTATTGCTTCAATTTTTTATTTATTTCAATGACAAATGTTGCCGCCAGTGCCGCTGATGACAAGACATTGACAAATCTTTTGAAAATTTGTATGGCTGTTGTGTTTGTGGACAACAAGACAAAAACAAAAATTTCAAACATCAGCAATCACTGTTTTTTTTGAGATTGTAACACATGAGGGTCCCATAAATGATTATAGTGATGAGAAAAACAAAACAAAAAAGACTGGGAAAAAAAACATTCAACTTTGAGATGAAAGATTTCTTCTCGACTTTTGTCATGTTCTGTTGTTGTTGTTGTTGAAACCGAAAAAAAATCGATCAATTGGTCGATCATCATTCTATGGATGTGTTTTTTTTCGCGCGCGCGCAAACAAACTTTATTTTTTTTCATAGTCATCATCATCTTAGAAAAGGAATTTTGGAAAAGAATTTCAGAAACAAAAACAGAGGAAAAACAATGATTGCCTCTATAAACAGATTCGAACGAGAGAGAGAGAGAGAGAAAAAATAGGAAATGAAATGATTCTGAAAAAAAATTCATCCTATAGTGTGCTAACATGTTTCACAAGAAATAGTATCAAATTCCAAGAAGAATAAATGACATGATTCATTGGAAAATTTCTCTCTCACTTTCATTGTATCAAATTTATAACTTTCTGAAGAATTTCTTCGTGAATGATACAACAATGGTAAGACTATAGAAGAATTTAATGCCACCACAACACACAGACACAGACAAACACTCGACAATTGGGTAAATATCTGAATTCAGTTCAAATTTTTCAATGACAATCGATTACAATGAAATTATCTGGAGAGAAAAAAAAACTTTGCAATAACCAAACACTACACACACACACACACACACACATGCACTATATTAAGTCAAATTAATAAATAGAAGATAGCTATTTCCCAAATTTTCTTCCGTTATAGTGGATTGTCGTTGTCATCGTCATCGTCGTTGTCGTCGATGAATAATGAATTTGATGAATGATAAATTTAATTAAAAAAAAACCTAAGCTTTCTTCGTATCCATGTTGTCGTGTGTTTTATGTGCAAATGTAGGTGTATGTTTGAAGATTAATTTCTTCGTTGTTTTAATAACATTCTGACTATTTCTTTTTTTTTCAATTTCATGGCAATTCTTTTCACAGTCATTCTTTTTCCACTTTACCCGAATGTATGAATTGATAAATTTTTTTTTCTTCATTTCATTTCATTTCATTTTTTCTGCTTGTTTAATATTTCGAAATCATTTACTTTTGGCAAAATAAATGAAACACATGATGGCGAAACAAAAATTCCCAGTTAAAACAATTGAAAATGAATTCATAGGAAAACTTTTTTTTTAATTGTATTTCTATTGATTGACAAATATATAACAGCAATGATGATGATCTGGGTGCAATAGTGAAAATGTACCAAAGAAAAAAAAATTTGGTAAACTTAAAACTTGATAAGTTTCACAATACAATGAAAAAAAAAAATGGATATGAATGAAAATGAAACAAACCATACGCATACAAACACACACACACATAGTCATTCAGTCAGTTAGTACGACGCAATAGCAGTAAATGAAAATTTTTTACGATAAAAAGAATTCATGGAATTTTCATTTAAAACCCAAAATACACGCCACATGATGATGAGTTCCATTTCATTTTCAACATACATGCACAACGCAAGCCTCATTGAATGAGAATTGGCTGAGGAAATCGAGAATACGAAACGATTGAATGAATGAATGAATGAATGACAGCAACAATAACAACAAAAGAGACTAAACAAAAGTACAAAGTTTGGTGCAGATATACTCAGAAT